TCCCTCTATTTTGTAATAGAATAATACTCAGCTCAAAAGTGGTGTGTAAAAATGCATTTACAGGGAAATGGAGTCAATGTATAGGTGGATTTTCATGCTTTTTGGAACTGGCAGAGTGAGGTGGAAACAGGATGGGACAAACTTAATGACGGTAGATATGATGTGTTTGCAAATCATGATGCGGCAGAACTGAGCTGATGTACCCTTCCCTCGGAGCTAACCTGATTTGAGAGCCAGCTTGGCTTAATTCCGTTTTCTCCAAGAGGATGTGATATGCCCTGCATGATAAAGACTGGGCATCCATACAACTTCCCCTGGGAGGTTCTGCTTGATCTCCTTTGCCGGAGGCCAACAGCCATGTTGATCAAGGAGCGAGAGATTTCCATGTGTAGCCAGAAGGTAGCTGTCTTGGGTCAGGCTCCTGACAACCCCTCCAGCCCCTGGCGCACCACCAACATGCTGTTATCTGTAGACAAACAGAACACCACCATGCATCATAGCAGTTGCTTTGCATACTTAAAAACAGGGTTGGGATGCCCCCTATTGGGCTTCCTCTTGAGTTTGGCCCAGTCTTCCAAGCTGAGCCGAGAGGACCTTCCTGAATGCTCCTAGACTCCCATGACGCAACTGGCAAGCCTCTTCCATATCAGCTTCAGCAGCCCAGGAAGCATCCGAGAGGGGGCTCCTTTCCTGGTGAACCACTCATGACCAGTTTCCTTGGTGTCTGTTGCAGCTACTCAAGGGACAGCTGCGCTTGGCGCATGAGAAGGGAATCACAGGGGTCCCAGTTCCTGGCAAGCACTCCATGATCACTGGGTGCGCTCAGCAGCAGCGTGGACTTTGGGCCTCTGACATGACCCAGAGAACTTCACTCTGCTTGCTACTGGACTCCGCATGGTCCACTGGCCTCACCCACAGGGCTCAGCTATGGAAGTCTGGGTGCCCTGAGGTTCCTCAGCCCTGGCTTGTGATTCTGGTTTCCGTAAGATTTGAACGAGGAATTCCCAGATGGAACCTTATAACCAGCTCTCTTTTTATACACCTGTCTCCAAAATAGAGACTCTCTTCAAGGGGCAAAGCTCCAACCCCTGCAGCCAGATGTCATTGCTAAAGAAAAATTACTGACCTGTTGATACTGCTTGGAGGATAGAGTATTCCCTTCATTTAGCCCAGGTAATTGAATCCAAGGAGCTAAATTTAACCTACTTCATTTTCTTTCCTTTTAAAAAAATCTCGACAAATGCATTGATGGGAGGGAAAGGGCTCCTCAGTTGCTGAAAAGATGAAGCGGGTGGCTTTGTGAAGCCCCTCTTCCCCATGCCTGGGAAGGAGTGATGTAATGAAGGACGTCATCACCAAGGATCACAGCTAGAACCTGGGCTAACAGAGTAGCTTACAGGAGATTGGAATGGGGCACAGACAGGACCTCTCCAGAAATCTGCCTCCCGTAAACATCAAATATGTCTTTGCCCGAGCACAGTCCTGTGTTTGTGTATAAATACGTGTTGATGTCACCTTTCTGGGCATATTTTATCTCACAGATAAAATCATTCGCACACACCTCTTATTGCTATGATATGTCGATGATACCTATGATTAATGATCTATCATTGATCTAATGTCTAGAGGCTCAAAACAACGAAAATACGAAATCCCAGCAGCCGAAAAATTCACATAGGTGAGACGAACTAGCATTTTAATAAGCATTGCTAAAATGGCAGCCTGAGCTCAATACATAAGAGAGCGCTAGATTTCATCATGGCATGAGGTGCTCCAGGACAGTGCTTCCACCAGCCAGACGTTCCACAGGTAGGAGAGGGGCTGTCCACCAACACGGCTGAAAGACTGCTTGGTTGTTCTTTTCCTTCTATGTCCTGCCTTTTTAGATGGCAATCCAGTAGGCAAGGGCAGTCCTGCTTTGCTCATGACCACGTGCGCAGGTTGTGCTGAGCCACCTTCCCAACAAGCCATGGTGGACTGCTTGTGGAACAAACCACTGTGTGCCTGATGGACCATCAGGGTCACTGGGAGTTGCTCTCCCTCTTCTTCTCCCTCTGCAGCTCTTGATGAGGATTGCGTTCGTTGGGTGCCCTTTGGTGAATAAAGAGATTGTTCACAAGGAACGGTCCATTGCCTTGAATGGGTGAAGGGAAGAAAACTTGGCTTGCAATAGCCAGGCATATTTTATTGTATCATCCAATTGGATAGTGCAAAAATGCATCCATACATATTTGCATTCAGGCAAAGTTGTGCAAATTCTCACTCCTGAAAAAGCACAAATGCATATTTTCATGCTTTAGCCTATGGAGGACTTGATTAGCTTGGGCTGCTTTTTAAAAATTGCATCTATTTTTCCCATGGCTACATTTCTGTAAACTTACATTAAATAAATGGCCCAGAAGTCCATGATATGCATGAGACTGAAGAAAAGCTGGTCCATTGTGGAATTTGTAGGCTGGATTCTTAGGAACTGTGGACTCCTCTGATGTCCTCAGGGTAGAATCACCCCGGAAATTGCTCAGCTGTTGGTGACACCACGCCTCAAGAGCCCAAAGGCTTTCACATGCTTGGGAATGGGGTTGGTATGAATCAGATCCAGTCACTCCATTGCAGACCAGTCCTTCCTAAGGACTAAAGTTGCACTCCTTAGATAATCCCAAGAAGAGTCTCTCTTGTTTCCATATTCCAAAGCTTGTGTGCCAATTCCCATGACAGAGAGATGTCAGCTTCCACCTGGCTTACACCCTCCGCCCCCCCAGCTCAAATCCCACATGGATGCTGGGATTTTAGCCAGAATCAGAAAATCCCTTGTTTGAGACCTTCCTCACCTTCCTTACGTCTGCAGATTTATAATGCTGCAGCATAAATCAAACCCCAGCTGTTTCCAGCTGGGGCTGGTCATTCATTCGAGCGGCTCGAGACAATGGATGCGTTTCCTTGATGCTTCCAAGCTGCACCTCATTCAACCCTCTGAGGCTATTTGGGGGATCTGGGATCTGGAATGATGCGGCCCTTCCTTTGACAGAAGGAAGGAGGCGAATGCTAAAATGACGATCCGCCGTAACAGTGAAGGCCAATGAGGTAAGATTACTTAGCAGAAGTGGGTGTGAGTGCAGGGACAAGACACAAGGCACTAGGACCTAGGAGGAGTCACCGCTCAACTGGCAGGAATTTCTTGCTTGGAGCTCAGACAACAAAGGCAGAGTGTGCTTGGGTTTCTCTCTCTCAGCATCTCCACCCTGCGAGCTGAAAACCGGTAAGTAGAGCTTGAAATTTTCCAGGCAGAGAAAGTAACAGATGTCCGATGCAAAAGGCAGGGAGAGAAAGACTTCACATTTCAAACCAAGGGTGCATTTCTACCTACCACTCCCACCCGTCACTGTAAAAATATCTATCTCCACACAAAAGCTTCCTATTCTCCTCTTAAAAGTTGCATTGAGAAGCCATTGTCTTCAGAATCGCACTCATGTCCCTGTAGGAAGTAGAGGAGGAAAGCACTTTGCAACTCTGGGGAAGCAAGGTGGACTGAAAACCCCCTTTGCTACACAACAGCGACAATGTGAAGGTCAGACACAGGTCACTGTGACACCGTCTAAAAATGAGTGAAGGCACAAGGAAGGGACCGGATCCGACCAGCTGCATGGCTGGCAGGAGGAAAGCAACAGATTTTCATGGGATTTGTACCCGCTAGCTGAGCCCTGGGTTTTAATCCTATTTCTGTTGGGTGTGAATCCGCTATGAGCAGATGTGAGTTGCATGTTAATAGTCTCAAGCTGCCAAAGGATGGAGTGTTTTGTGGCATCCAGACCTTCCTTTTTTTGTTCAGAGTTGTACGTTGCAAGCAGGCATAATCTCTGGCATCTTAGCTCCTGCCTGTGCTTATTTCTGGCATTCGTCTCAGTCCCCCTTCCTGCTGCACAAATTACAGGGAGGCTAGTAAGACGAGGACAGCTCCGAACAATGAAAGGTGCACTTGCGGTGGTATGAGGTGAAATACTTCGCCAAGGCACCTTGGGCCATTAAAAATCACTTCATTAAGAGGGAGGGAGGGAGGGAGGGAGGGAGGGAGGGAGGAAAGGCGATGGAGACTCTTTCCTGATCAAATGACTCTTGCAAAGGAAAACTGTGATGCAACATTAACTGCCATTTGAATCTTGGGGTTATTTTCCCCCTTCTCGTTCAATTTCCTTGCCATTGAGGCTCGTCTTGGAACTGATTGATAGCTAGGAGGGGTCTGTGAGTGTGGGGAGGAGAACGCCGACCGCTTTCCGTTCCTTAACAGCTGGTCACAAAGAAAATGGCATTGCTGCTCTCCGCTTCTCTAGTCTCCCGTCCATTTCCATGTATGACTTCCCATTGGAAATGGCACCTGGTAGCCCATCAGCGAATGGACGTGTTGAGAGCCTTACGGACAGCAGCACTAGTTCCTCGGGAGATGCTGAGGCATTGGGCAGGGCTGGCTTGTCTTTTCCACGCTGCCACTGCTCAATGGAAGTTTGCCAGCCCACAGATCCAGCACAGCTGCAGTGAGCATCTGCTGGGTCGTCTCAAGGTGTGTGTGGATGATGACACACCCCACAACAGGGGCCCAGTAACCTCCAGCCCAACCTCCTCTTCTCGGTTTTCAGCACTGATCCGGATACCAGCCTGTTGGTTTCAGTGCAATGGTGTACGCTCTCCGAGCCGTAGTCTTCATTCCTGCTTTTCTAGGAAAGCAATCTCCCTTCCCATATTTGTACCGTTTCCCCATCCGAAATGCACAGAGGAAAAGCATGTATGGCATCAGCCTAAGGGAAGCAAAACACTGAGAAAGTGTTTGTTTCCTCTGGTTTTTGAAAAAGGTGTGCTGGGTTGTGTGCGGGGAAGAAGTTCGCATCCAAGATGTCCTGATCCAGACGTGCCCCTCTTCAGATACTGGGCTTTTCATTGGGATTCTCTTTGCCCCCTTCCCTCCCCCTGTCCCTCCTCTACCTCAGCTTCACATCTCTAGGGCTCACCGAGCTATGGAACTTGATTTTGGACACTTTGACGAAAGAGATAAGGCGTCCAGAAACATGCGAGGCTCCCGTATGAATGGCCTGCCCAGCCCCACTCACAGCGCTCACTGCAGCTTCTACCGCACCAGGACCTTACAGGCACTCAGCAACGAGAAGAAAGCCAAGAAGGTGCGCTTCTATCGCAACGGGGACCGCTACTTCAAGGGGATTGTGTACGCCGTCTCTGGCGACCGCTTCCGGAGCTTCGATGCCTTGCTCGCCGACCTGACCCGGTCTCTGTCCGATAACATTAACCTGCCTCAGGGAGTTCGCTACATTTATAGCATTGATGGCAGCCGAAAGATTGGGAGCATGGATGAGCTGGAGGAAGGTAATTAGCAGGGAGTGGTGGCGATCGCGCGCTGGGGTGGGGAGGGCAGTGGGAGAGATGGGCGCTCCGTTGCAAAAGTGGCATGTTGAAAGTCAGTGCCCCCATTCGAGGGTCAGTGGCTGGAAGTGTGCCAGGGAGAAACATCTGCCCTGGATTCCCCCGAGTTTCTCCTGGAATGGCTCTAGACTTTTCCTGAACCTTGGCTGGGGGCCGATCACCTGGATGGCATCAAAGCAGCAAGGAATCAGCCCTTCTAGTAGCAGATGCATGCAGTTTAAACGAAGGGGCCATCCCTCTGCACCTTAAAGGACATCTCTGGTGTGTGTGTGTGTGTGTGTGTGCAACACCTGTCCAGGGATTGGGATGCAGATACCGTGACGCAGAATTGTACAATACAGCACTAGGGGTGTCACCATGCCCATGCTGCCGTAGTGTGTATGTTCATTTAAAGCAAAGCACCATCATTCTCTCTCTCACTGTGTGTGTGTGTGTGTGTGTGTGTGCGCGCGCGCGCGTGCGCGCGCGCTTGTGCTGCATTCAGACGGTGCATGCAGAGTTGTCTATTGATCCTGTCCCTTTGTGACAGTAGCTATGCCTGTTGGATTTGGAATATTTGATTTGGTTTGCCTATAGGGAGACCGGCCATTAGTGGCATTGCCCAGGGTTGAATTGTGTACAAATCTGCCCACCACTGGGCAGAGATTCAGCAGCTTATCTCTGCTTAGGGCATGTACGTGTGCATAGAAGGCCATGTGCAAAACATTTGTGGGGTGCACGTTCTCAGGATTGGGTGTATTACTAGAAAGCAGCATGGTTGTGTGACACCTCTTGAAATTTGTCTCTATGGGTGTGGAGTCTCTATGAGGAGCTGAGGAGGCTGTTGGTAGCGGGGGGGGCAGGGGGGGCTTGGCTGTCACTGCCTTTGGAAGGGTGTGTTTGGAAGCGCATGTGCCTGGGATTTTTGCAACAGTGGGTGTGAACATGGGTGGGTGTGTTTGCGAGCTTTGTGAAAGTGCTTCGATGCAGACTTGTCTGGAATAAGGTGCACTTTGAAAGGCAATAGCTCCGTGTTCCACAGGGCTGATTAGTGCCTGAATGCATGCATTGTACTGGCCCCTTGTGTGCTTGGCGAGCAAGTTGCTTATCTGTAATGGTGACTCAGTGTCTGCAGTGTGCAAAGTCACCGACTTCAGACTCTCTGGTGCTGCTCGGTAACTTGCAAAGAAAACCAAATGAGGATTGCCCTAACGACCCCAGCATTTTTAAGAAGAGGGGGAATTAAAAGGCATTGCTAACACAATCTTTGCGATTTGATTTGAAGGAATACTGTTTCTAGATGTTGGATAGGCTTTTGTAATCCCATCCTTATTGCAACAATTAAAGAAAAACGATCTCTTAGAAATATGCCAAGCTGCTCATGTTCCCGGTCCCTGTGGCTTGGAGAATCTGTTTTCTCTTTCCATCATGGGACTTGCCATTAACGTGCTTCAGTGTGAGTGCAGGGTGTGTCCCTTTGTCTGGGGCAAATGTGTGCAGATTGTCTGTAAGGTGCATCTGCGGACGCTTCAAAGGGATGGTGCTCAATTTTTCCGTGGTGGAAGGCATGTCTGGGGAATGGGAGAGGGTTATCCATAGGAGATACGAGTGAGGGAGCAGGGAACTGTTGGTGGGAGCAGAGAACGAGCACACAATCTGCCCACAGCCAATTTTCTGCCCGGAGGAGAGCAGGATGGGCGTAGCACTGCCTGAAGGAGTGAACGCAAGAGCGCTGCATGAGGACTCGTATTTGTTGTGGCGAGTTTGAAGGTGATGCCTGTGCAACTGGGAGTGATGCAAAATCTGCCTGCAAGGAGCCCTCCTTTGTGGTCGAGGGGGGACCTTTCGGGAGAAAAGATTACTCTTCTGCACAGCATATCTGAGAGGCAGATAAAAGACTGTGTCCCATAGGTAGGTGTCCACATGCACACGCACACCTGTCAGTCCCGATGAGATGGTTTTGGTTCTTCTCATGACGGTGCTGTGCAGGCAGGATAGATGCACCGATGCACTGTTGATGGTATCCCGGCGATGCAAGTGCTAATGCTCACAACCTTACTCAGCCCGCCCAGCAGACTTTCAGCATGCTCTTAAGTTAGTGAGGCACTTTGCCATTTGTCTTTAAGCCAATGGGGTGCCATCTTGAATGATGTCATCCCCTGGATATGCGATCCCTCCAGCTAGGACCTCCAGGAATGACATCATGGCTTCAGCTATCGACCAGGTCTGCTTTGTTATCTTTTCTGCCACGGGCTGAAACCAGTGTGCATGATATGAGAAAAGGACGCCCATTGATGGGGGCTGAGCCGGACCCAACCGCTTCCCTCTTTGTTTCTGTGTTTCAGTTCCATCTCGTGAGGCGCAAAGCCAAGAGGCTTTCTCAGCGCTTTCCGAGATTTGGTTAAAACAGGCGGCTCCTACGGCACCACCCTTTCTTAGCAAGTGACACATACGAATTAGGGAAACAGATGTACACACAGAGAGTCGTCGCAATCCATGCTTTTCCTCGTGCCTCTAATGCAGTTGTGTTGCATGGAAATGCATGTAGCAACCACACCGCCTAAGTGCAAGCTACAATGCTGGCTCACATCCATCTCCACCACAGGTGCCTCACCCTTTCTGCTGTGGTGAGACAGAGGGTCTCGGGAGATGCTGGGTGTGGGCTGCATTTTAGCGGGCCATCTGTCGGGAATGCTGTGATTGTATCCTGCACTGCAGACCCTGCACTGTGCCGGGGACTGCACTAGACGACCTCCAAGGTCCCTTCCAATTCTGCCATTCTAAGATTTCCCCCTCTTGCTTCTATTGTCTCTCCTCCACCCACCTCCAGAAAATTTAAATGGAAAGATCCTTTGGCCAGGGACCTGGAATTATTGTCCTGGCCTGATGATGGGGCCCTGGCCTTGCCTTCCCAGCAAGGTGGGGAATGTTGCAAAGCTAGGGCAGGGCTAACAGGGCACAAGGGAGCTGAGGTGGGGAGGGTTGCTTTGCTGCGGCTGGGGAAAATGACCTTCTTGCACCTTATTCTGGGCAGCCCCGGTATTGCATTCAGGAAAGCCCCAGTGACTTGGTGGTGCCACAGAAATAGATCCAATCTCAATAAAGCAATGCAAATTGTCAGCAAAAAATACTCGCATTTTGCTTTCTTTGTTGTTTGTTTGGGAGGTGAACAAGGTGGCTTTGTTGTTAAAGTGACTATTATTATTTTTAACCAGTTCAGGATAAGTGATTTTATCCAGTTTTAAGTGGTTCCACACAAAGAAAGAGGTAAACTTCATCTCTACAGTCTGCACATTAAGGTAAACTGCTCAGAGGGACAACTAAGAACTAAACAACTCCTGCGTAATGTACCTTATCCTACGCATTTTGTTTACCTTAGTGTAAGTGCATGCTGGCCCCGAATCCCCGCTAATGAAAAAAATTAATGGGGGGGAGCCTCAAATGGCACCAGTGAGTCTCTCTCTCTCTATTCTCTGCCCTTGGTGGTGGTGGTGGTGGTGGTGGGAAATTTAGGAAGAAAACATCACTGGCCACTGTAAAATGAAATTCTCAATGTTACTGACAAACTGAAAGAAAGCAAATCTCTTGGTCCAACTGGTATCCATCCTTGAGTTCTCAAAGATCTCAAAGATGAAATTACAAACCTTCTTACCCAAATATTTAATATGTCCCTAAAATCAGCCCTTGTACCAGAGGATTGGAAATATTATGCCATTTTTAAAAAAGGGATCTAGAGGGAATCTGGGAAATTACAGGCCAGTTAGCTTAACTACTATTCTGGGTAAACAGCTTGAAAACATTGTTAAAGATAGAATCAGGAGGCAAACAGAGGGACAAGCCTTGCTGAAAAAGAATCAACATGGCTTCCATAACGAGAAGTCTTGTCTCAGTAATGGATCACTAATCCACCTTGAGAGTGTTGAGAAACATATAGACAGGGGTGATCCAGGAGACGTTATTTACCTGAATTTCCTAAGGGCTTTTCCCAAAGGTTCCTGAGGAAGCTAAACAGCCATGAAATTAAAAAAAGAGGGGTCTTCTTACGGATTACTAATTGGTTAAAGAGCAAAAGACAGAGCCTGGGAATAAATAGCCATTTCTCCCAATGGAAAGATGTAACCAATGGAGTCCCACAGGGTCCTGTATTAGGACCAATGCTTTTCAACCTATTTATGAGTGACCTGAAATGAGGAGTCAGCACTAAAGTGGCCAACGTTGCTGATGACACGAATCTGTTTAGGATGGTTGAAACCAAATGATATCGTGAGGCGCTGCAACAGGATCTCTCCATGCTAGGAGAATGGGCATCAAAATGGCAAATGCAGTTCAGCGTGAGCAAGCATAGACTAAGGCGTGTTGGGGCAAAATATCCCAGCTTCAGTTATAGGGTGATGGGACCTGGACTGGCAGTGATGGGGCTAGAAAGGACCTTGGGGTAGTGGTGGTCTGCTTGACGAAAATGTTGGCCCAGTACAGAGCTGCTGTGAAGAAGGCAACCTCCATGCGAGGAGTAATCAGAAGCAGAGTAGAAAACAGAACTGCCAAGATCCTACTCCCTTTATCCACATTTTTGTGCAACCACACTTAGCATAATGTGTTCAGTTCTGGTTGCCTTACCTGAAAAAGGACATTATTGAGTTGGAAAAATTAGAGAAGGGCAATGAGAATGAACAGGGGGTTGGAGCAGCTTTCTGTGAGGAGTGGCTACAGGAACTGGGACTGTTTAGCTTAGAAAAAAGGCGAGTACAGGGAGACAGACAAGAACTCTGCAATGTATCAGGACATGCAAACATGAAATGTAAGAATGGAAAAAGTTTACAGCTGTGGAACAACCCTGCTTTCCCGTGTTTGCTGAAGGCCAACGAGAAATGAAAAGAGACATTAATGGGCTACCATTTATCATATATTGCCAGCATTTAAACCTGATTTAGTAGTTACAGTGCGATGTAATTCATTCTGGAAAG